AGAGGACGATCGTTTTTTAGCACTTGCTCCTGGTCCCAGGTGGAGGTGCAGGGCATGTGAATACATAGTCTGTGAACTGTCAGAGCACTTCTCTTGGTGCCACCGTAGTTCTGAGGGTAAAGGGGGAGGGGGGGAAGAGAGAGAGAGAGTGTGATCCTGGGTGCAATGCCATGAATTAACTACCTTACGTCCATGGCCGTTTGTGAACGGCCAGATGGACGTCTACCCCTGAGTCGCCACTGCCTGTATGTAATTATTGAACGTGTGCATGCCCAATCTTTTTTTTCTTTTCTTAGCAAGCTAGTCAATGTATTGTTAATTTATATGCTTGATACTTAACAGGTCAAACACTTGATGCTGTTTACTTTTTATTGAGGCCGCTCGCCTTTGGCCATGCTAGCAATGCTGTCAGTGAGATTTGAAATGAAGCTTCATTGAAGACTGAATTCTTATTAGACAGTGCCTTCACCAAGTTCATTCAGGATCTATGTTCCCTCCTTATCTTTGTGCTGGATGAATGTTCAGTGTCCTACACCTGCAGCTTTTTTTTCCTGTTACTATCTTGGATGACATTACTTTATGTTTTTATGCTTTGGAATTTAGATAATGGCATCAGTAAACTCTGGGGTATTTTAATTACAGAAGTTTTTCAATTGGTAGAAATTATTTAAAATGTATGCAAGATATAGGTACACAGATTAGTCTTTACAGATGTAATTATATTTTGTCCGGGTTTCTTTGTTTTGACTTAGAGGGAAAGACCAAGATATTCATTGCCTATTTGACTATATGTAGCCATTTCTGGAGAGTTTTTGTTCTGCTCTAATTCTAATTTCTTGTCTGCTGAATAATATCTCATTTAAAAAGGTTCATTGGAATGTTTTTGTATTTTCAGTATAGATTATTCCCTGCCATTCTAGGCAAATGAGTCATCAGTGAGAGAAATTTTGTCAGGCTGAGGGTTAGTTCACACCATATGCAGTGCGTTCCGGTCCGATTCTGGCCGGAACGCACTGCCTCGCATTGCAGCAGTGCTTGCAGCATTTTGATTGCACCGGATCGCACTGCAGGCACAATGTGCCTAGTGATCCCGTGCGGGCGATCGCATTGCGGCCGGAGGGCGTGGCTACGGTGCCATTCACTTCACTGGCCTGCCACGCCCCCTCCAGCCTGACAAAACAGTGATTGGGCCGCAATGCAAGGCAGTGTATTCAGGCCAGAATCGGACCTGAACGCACTGCTTATGGTGTGAACTAACCCTAATTCACAATTTCTTTGCTGAAATCATCCTCCCTCCAGAACCTAAAATTTTGTTCACATTTCAAAATTATTTAGCAGTATGTAGGAAATTAGTTTAAAGTGACACTAAACTCAGGAGTTAAATCTCAAAAATGCATCCAAGTACCTCAACTATCAACACAAATGTAGCTTATTTGTGCATCACTCGACTGTAGATCCTCAAATCATCTCTGAATTGGTGCTGACACTGTCCTTCCTTCTGTAGGGAGACTACTTATGTTGCCCATGGTCTCTGTGTGTGTTGTAAAGTAGCCACCGCTCCAAGCTCACTCTTGTGATGGACTACAACTTCACATTTAGTTTAATTTGTATTGAGATTGTAGTCCATGATGGGAGTGAGTTTGGAGCGGTGGATACTTTACAACACACACAGGGACCATGGGGAACAAAAGTAGCCACCCTCCAGAAGGAAGGACAGTGTCAGCACCAATTCAGAGATGATTTGAGGATCTACAGCTGAGTGATGCACAAATAAGATACATTGTTGTTAATAGTTAGGGTACTTGAATGCATTTTGAAGATTTAACTCCTGAGTTTAGTTTCACTAAACCTCTCCCACAATGACTCTATTATAAAGTTTTCTGAACTATAAAGATAGATAGATAGATGGATAGATAGATAGATGTTAGGTTTTATAGCGAGGAGTTATGGACAAAGGCCCACCCACTTTGCCAAGCCATCTGTTTTTCCAATGGATTTTATTAGCTGCCTGAAGTAGCTAACTGAAATACTGTAATTTGTTTGACTAATATTTCTAAAACGGAAACAGTTAAGAAAGTGAGAGAGAAAGAAATAATGATGTCCCTTTTAATTATGTTCCACTGGGCTTTTTATGACAATTTCATATTCATTTTGCAAATATTTTCACTGATACTTAACAGTTTTCCTAGCAAGTTTGAATATTAATGAAGTGTGTCAGTGTGTTCATTTGCTGAGTATATAAATGTACTAAAACGCCATGATGTAAGAACATGCTTAGTTGTAATTAAAACAAATGGTTCCTATTTTTGGTGACTATGCACTAACACAAGACTAATTCTGGCCATGTACTTAACTGTGTTTTTTGACAGTTTTATTTTCTAATGTTTAGACTGTAAGATACTTTTATATAAAATCTCCACACACAGTATTAAAACATTGTGCAGTCCAAATGTGATTGTATATAAAGGATTGTAAAGTATTACAAAATTATACAGACTAATAGTGATTGTATACAAAGGATTGCAAGGCCTCACAGATGTTAAAGTGACATTAAAGGATATCCCCACAATGCTAGTGTAAGGACTTACCTTAAATGATGCCTCTTGATCCGATCATCTTCTTTCCTGTAGTCTTCAGGAGTCCCTCCAGCGCTGGTGCCGTTCTCCGATCTTGCGCTGACTCCTGTCTCTTCCTGTCCCTTTCTGTCCCACGAAGTCTGTGCGGGTGCACGCTGCCTTTATTGACTTACCTTGACTTACCTTGTGTCTCTCCTAGTCTCCCAGCCAAAGATCTGTACTGCGCATGTGCCCGCCCCATGATCCTTTGCGGCAGCCTGAGATTTTTTCAGATCTTCGGATGGCAGTGTGCGGCGGAGACACAGGTAAGTCAAAGGTAACCCATCTTTGTAACTTTTTAAAAAATATTTTTGCCTATATCTCCTGCTTGCTAGCAGAAAAAGCTATTATTTTCTAAATAAATGGCAAAATCTGTTCCCTTTCAGACTCTCTGTCTCCGATTGAGACTCCTGATGCAGCTGTAGCAGGGAGGGGGAGTGAAGGGGATGTGTCATTGATCTGACTCATTCCACTTATGTGTCTAGCTCTGTAAAAAGATTTTAGGAGGAACACATCTTAAAACCACTGAGCACCATTTGATAGCCAGATATAAAAACACAAAATATTTTATAACCAGGCAAATCATTTTTTTTTATTTTTTTTATCATAAAGAAAATGTATGCAAAGCCACTACATATTCTCCCCAAAAATGTTTTGCCAGCTTGAAAGTTGAACACAGCTTAGTGAGTG